GTATTTAGTCTCTCAATCCAAGTGGAGACTGGGGCTAGAGATACAATTAATCAGTCAATGAACAGTTATAAACTGGAATATCCAGTCTGGTGGGGAGCTGAGCACATAACAGATCACCAGTATAGGGTGTGTGGCCAGCAGGTATAAACAGAGTGCTATACCTGGATTTATATATAAACTGGACAGAGAGATCCTTGAGGGGAGGGCCCAAGCCTTGTTTATTTGTGTTCTCAGAGCCCAGCACAATGCTGAACAAATGTTAAATGAGTGTAAAAATGAATGAATGATTGCTCACCTATCACAGATAAAAAAATTACTTCTAGAAAGTTAACTTCTCTTGAATTAGATTAATTGGAATTCACATGAGTCTCTGGAGGAGGCTGGGCATGGTGGCTCATGCCTGTAATCCTAGCACTTTTGGAGGCTAAGGCAGGAGGATTGTTTGAGCTCAGGAGTTTGAGACTAGCCTGGGCAACATAGGAAAACATCATCTCCACAAAAAATTTTTTAAAACATAGCTGGGTGTGGTGGCATACACCTGTAGTCCCAGCTACTTAGGAGGCTGAGGCAGGAGGATTGCTTGAGCCCAGGAGGTCAAGGCTGCAGTGAGCTGAGATCACACCACTGCATTCTAGCCTGGGAAGCAGAGCAAGACTCAGCCTCAAAAAAATAAAAAAGTAAAAATAAATAAATAAATAAATAAATAAATAAATAAATAAATAAATTAAAGAAGTCTCTGGAGGGCATTGGGGATTAAGAATTAAGATTCTTCTTTAAAAATCTTTACCATTTGGCCATCTGCTTTTCCTGGCTTCTCCTCACCCTGAATGATGATGCTCATAAATCCAGAACTAACTTTCTTTCTTTCTCTCTCTCTTTCTTTCTTTCTTTCTTTCTTTCTTTCTTTCTTTCTTTCTTTCTTTCTTTCTTTCTTTCTTTCTTTCTTTCCTTCCTTTCTCCTTCCTTCCTTCCTTCCCTTCCTTCCTTCCTTCCTTCCTTCCTTCCCTTCCTTCCTTCCTTCCTTCCTTCCTTCCTTTCTTTCTTTCTTTCTTTCTTTCTTTCTTTCTTTCTTTCTTTCTTTTTTCTTTCTTTCTTTCTTTCTTTCTTTCTTTCTTTCTTTCTTTCTTTTTCTGTCTTTCTCTCTCTTTCTCCCTTCCCTCCCCTCCCCTCCCCTCCCCTCCCCTCTAGACTGAGTTTCGCTCTTGTTGCCCAGGCTAAAGTCTGATGGTGCAGTCTGGGCTCACTGCAACCTCCGCTTCCCAGGTTCAAGTGATTCTCATGCCTTAGCCTCCCAAGTAGCTGGGACTACAGGTGCCACGCCTGGCTAATTTTTTGTATTTTTAGTAGAGATGGGGTTTCACCAAGTTGGCCAGGCTGGTCTCGATTTCCTCAGGCGATCCACCCACCTCAGCCTCCCCAAGTGCTGGTATTACAGGCATGAGCCACCGTGTCGGGCCCAGAACTTTCTAAATGACCTCAGCATCTGACTCACAGCCTATTCCACATCATGCATCCCCTGCCTTCTGTCTTGATAATTCAATATCTATGTGTGGCTGTTTCTTTTCTAGTCCCCTGAGTTAAAAGTCCTTGACCTCCGCCTCCTTTCTGTTCGTGTGCTGCTGCCAGCTCTGCCTTCCAACCTTATTGCTCAGGATTCCTTTCTCTACCCTATGCTATCAAACTAGGAGCTCCTCTTCCCCTACGCTATCGTACTGGCTGAATGGACACCATCTCCAGGAGCCAAACTCCTTCATCAAACTCATTACTGATTCACCCAACCGTGTGTGATCTTTTCTTTCCTGAAAATTGCAGGGGATCTTAACAGTCTTTCTCTCATGGAGTTTGTCATAGTCTGCCTTCTGGATAAATTTGTCCTTGTCTCATCTTTCCTACTTTGATAGAAGTTTTCATGAAGAGGAGACTCTGCCGTACTCACTTTTTGTCACACTCTGTCATAATGGCAACTAGCACAGAACAGTGGACATATGTTATTTTGTCTTCACAGCATCCCATCTTTTAAAGAACCCTCCTTCTTCTACTTCTATATGACCCAGGGTGGGCTGTGAGTCATGGTGTCCCACCTCTACCTCCACAGAGCAGCACAGAAGATGCAGCCCCTGGCCTCAGAGATGGCTGCAGGGATGGACACACAACCTCCATATACGGAGAAAGAGCTCTTTTCCTGAGACCAGAGGCTGAAAGGATTATGTAAGGTGGGGTTGCTTGGGGCCATCTCTCTGGGCCACATGGAAGAAGGCACCTAACAGGAGAGAATGAGATTCACCTCCAAAGAGGCAGAGATGGAAAGAACAATGGCTGATATAGTGGGGTGCTGATTTTGTATCAGACCGTGCTCCAAGCACACTGGATGATCTAATTTACTCCTCACAAGAATCCTAAGAGGTAACCATATTATTATATCCATTTTACAGACAAGGAAACAGGGGCACTGAAAAGTTAAGCAGCTCATCTGAAATCATCCAGCTAGTCAGGTGGTGGAGTCCAGATTGGAACATAGGCTATGGGACTCCGAAACGGTCATGCTATGCTATGCATGCTATGCTGCCTTATGTATGAGCCAAGATGAACATAAATGGGAGTGAGATGGATTTACACATTTATGAGCAAGTGCAAGAGAGAACTGACAGCATCTTTTGAGCTCCTGGATCTAGCTGTGCCTGGAGCCAGCTGACTCATGTGCTTTTTAGTTAAATAAGCCAAGGCATTCCTTGATTTGCTTAAAATAGTGTATTTGTCACTTGCAACCTCCTGGCTTCACTGTGGAACAATGTGACTTAGTGATAAGGCATTACTTCTGGGTTTGCCTCCTGGCACTACCCCTTACTTACCATCCAAACATGGACAAATGATTTGACCTCTCAAGCCCCTGGGGGGTAATGACCTGTCAGGGATGAGGGGATGGTGACTAGAGAAGAGATTACATGTAAATGCACTTAACACTCTGGGAACACAATTTAAGTACTCAATCATGGTTAGATTCTCCTTTCCCTATGTGGAGTAGCTGTTCAATAAGCATTTGTTGAATTGAATTAAATCCTCCAGAGGCTGCAGGATGTTGCCTGAGCTTGCAAGCAGTTGGAGCTACGGAGTCTCCAATCAGGGGAGCATCTCAGCCGAGGGGTTGCCCAACAGCTCTATCTGGCCATTGGAAGGAAAAAAAAAATATTTTACTCTTCTCCTGTCTCCTGGACAGCTTCATCCTCTCTGACTTCCAGATCTCTCCAACAGAGAAAACAATGTCTGTCTGCTGGATTCCTTCATGCCCCGCTTTCCTCCTCCTTACAATTGCCCTCTAGAGTCACCTACCAACCAGTCCTATTGATTCACTTTCTAATTTTTCTTAGTCCTGCTCTCTCCTCCACCCGCCTCCCTGTGGTACCATTGCTCAGACTTTCATCACCTTTTGGATATTTGCAGCAGCTTCCTCTCTGACCTCCCTCCAGCCTTCCAGCCCATGGTGCAGCCCAAAACACCCTCGTTAAAGGTGACCGAATCACTCTTCACCTGAAAGCTGCCTTGGCCTGCAGGACAGTGAGCCAGCCCTTGGCAGACACACAAAACCCTCCTTGACTCCAACGGCCCCTGCCCGAATTTCCAGGACAGTCTCCTGCTTTGCTTTTCCATGCCTCCGTGCCGTCACCACCCTGCCAGTTCTTACTCATCCGCTAAGACTGTGCTCCATTTGCTTCTTTTTTTCTCCTGGAAACACTCATGGCATTCCCACCCCCACTCTCCAGGCCAAGCTGGAGAGTGATAACCTCCTCTGTACATAATTCTGTCTTACTATTTTATACTGATAGGATCATTTTATGCACCTGTTTTGAGGACTCTGAGGCCAAGGGTGAGGTCATACTCATGTCTGTAACCCTTGCACCCCATACAGTGCCTGGCATCCATAGGCCCTCACCTGCAGGCATCATGAAAGCTCCATGTGGGACTAGAAAGGGGAAAGGAGAAACTACATTTCTTGCAGACTAAGCTCATGATGCTCTTGTATTCCTGTGCCCTGCCTGATTTCCTTCATCCCTAGACTGGGGCCAATGTTTCTCTTAATGGCAAACACAATAGCCTTAGGGTTTAGTTGTTGGGGAGATAGGGGGCAGTTTCTCACCTTGTAAAGTGGGGAGGGATCCTACTTCCCCACTTTACGAGGTGAGAAATTCCACTAGTGGAGGAAATGGAAAAGAGAATTTTTTCCGGGGTCCTGAGTGATTATAGGTTATTCATGTAATTCTCCATACAGTTTTACATGCATCATACATGAACAGGTAACCTTTGGCTGCCTTAGAATAGCCCCATCTCAGTTTTCAAAAGGATACGATTATTTTATTACATATAAATATAGGCAAAGAGTCTTTGCTGCTGCATAACTTAGGCAAATACATGCAAATATCTTGCAGACTGGGGACCCGATCCCTTCACTGAGTTTCTAATTCTCAGGCCTCTGTTGCCCCTCCTCTCTCGTGCTGCTGCTCTTGAACAACAGGATCTGGTTGATCCGCTGTGCTAGTGACTCTGGTCAGCCTACTGCTCAGGGCTGCTGTGGGGGTCCGATGAGGGACAGGGCAGTGAGAGGGCTGTGCACATGGATGTGCAACCCTGTGGCATGCGGGAGGTGGGGCCTGGAGGGTGGTGAGCAGGATCATCGTGGGAGGCCACACCAGACAGGCCTCCAGCTGCTCTGCTGGGAGTGCCGGGGTTTCATTCCTCTCTCATTCTCATTTTTTCCCTTCTCAAATCTGTTTCCCATTAAAATGAAATGTGTTCTCCTCTCGGCTTTCTGCCTGGCTCCCTGAGCTGCGCCTGGCCCAGCTCTGAGAACCGGGCTGCGTTTGCTCCTTTTTAAGGCACCCACTAATTCAAACCAAGCAAGTGGGAGGCGGACTGGCCCGTGGGGCCAACCCCCATCCGCCTACCCTGGCCTTTCTCCACGAATGGAAAATTTGGCCTCAGCCTGCCCCTGTGACTAGAAAAAGCGGGGTCAGCTCATCAAAGCAGAACAGGGTTGTTAGCTAGCATTCCTCTTTCAGAGAAGGTTATATTAAGAAGGCGTGGCTCAGGGAGGGGGTTATTGGCCCTGGCTGGCCCCAGTCAGAAAGTTGTGGGGAGTTTGCTAGAGCAGGCAGATGCCTGCCAGGGTCAGGGAGAGCTTTCTGAGAGGGTGGTGAGAGACTGGGGAGGTGGGAGAGGGGTAGCTGTGAAAGGAAAATGTGTGGAGGTGACATGTCTGTAGGTTAGGCCAGGCCAGAAGAGAAGGTGAGAGGGAAGTGAGTGTTCCAGTCAGCCTTGCTGTCTTGGGGAAGATCCTGGGGTCCAGCCCACTGCCCCCTCCTCTCCGTCTCTCCTGCTCCCTGGGCTGAGGGAACGGAAGGAGCTGTGCCACCGTGAGGAGGAGGACCTCTATATGTGAGGGACCTGCTGGGGCTGGCTGCTGGGGAGTCCAGCTTTCTCTCAGTGGCTGAAGGGGACTATTTCTTTCCCAAGGGGCAGCTGCCATGCCACCACAGGAAAACCTGGCTTGCCGTTTTGGATACTTGGATTTTCCCACAGTGTGAGGGGGCTGGGAGTGTGGCCCAGGAAGGTGCACCTGAGGTGGGAGAAGAAAGAAGGAGACTGGTTGGGAGTCAGCTGAATTGGGGGCCGCAGAGGCTGGGGTGGGAGGGACGGAAGGATGTGTCAAAGCCCAGCCTCCCAAAGCTGAGCAAGAAGAGCATGATGGGAGGGTGTTTCCTGCCTCCTCGCCCACTCCAGTGCAAGGTCCTGTCTCCATCCAAATGCTGCAAGCACCACCTTTGGAGATCTGAGCATTTTCAGGAATGAACTCTGGGAAGTAAGTCCTGGCTTTGCATGCAGGGGAAATGCAGAAACAACAATGTAACAGGGCATGGTTACAGCTCCTAAACACACACCCGTTCCTTCTTCCTTTATAGTGAATCTCAAAGCTCAGCAAGGCATCTGGCTCCTTGACTCAAGACTACACTTCCCAGCTTCCTGTGAGGTGAGCTGTGGCCTTGTGATGGAGTTTTAGCCGATGGGATATGAGTGGAAGGGACGAGTGCCACTTCTGGGTAGTTCCTTAAAGTCCGAGGCATATGCTCCACCTTCCCTGTACCCCTCTGACTGACTGGACAGTGGATGTGATGGCAGGAGCTGGAGCAGTCATCTTACTTATTTTGTTTTTTTAATTAATTTATTTATTTATTGAGATGGAGTCTCGCTCTGTCACCCAGGCTGCAGTGCAATGGTATGATCTCAGCTCACTGCAACCTCCACCTCTCAGTTCAAGTGATTCTCCTGCCTCAGCCTCCTGAGAAGTTGGGACTACAGGCATGCACCACCATGCCCAGCTAATTTTTGTATTTTTAGTAGGAATGGGGTTTTGCCACGTTGGCCAGGCTGGTCTCCAACTCCTGACCTCAGGTGATCCACCCGCCTCGGCCTCCCAAAGTGCTGGGATTACAGGCATGAGCCACAGTGCCCAGCTTTATTTATTTATTTATTTAATTTCTCTTTTTGAGACAGGGTCTCTCCCTGTCACCCAGACTGGAGTGCAGTGATGTGATCACGGCTCACTGCAGCCTCAAACTCCTGGGCTCAAGCGATTCTCCAGCCTCAGCCTCCCTAGTACAGGGACTGCTACCCAATAAGTCAGTAAGCAGGATGGTTGTCCTGATTCTAAATATCCTAGACCCAGGCCCGTCTCCTCTCCCTTTATCCTCAATTCAGGCAAGGTCAGGTGGTTGGGGGCCAAGTCCAGGTACCTGCCCTCGAGCCTCTTATTGTCTCTGTCACACACCAGGTGATGGATGATGTACACACAAAAGACCCACACCTATGAGCCTACTCAGATGAAGACATAACCCCACCTACCCCAGTTCTGCAGGGAAGTAAAGCAATACAATAATTCATGTGGAGTAGGAGTGGTGGCCACTTCCTGCTGGCTGTGGTGGCCAGTTGTTTGCAGCAGTTTATGCACTGGCTGTCTCCTCATCCAGTCAGGAATCTTCCTTCCCATTCAGGAATGCCTATTGCAATGCAAGGAAGTCAGAATGACATTATTAAGGATGTAGCCTTGAATTGTTTCTAATTTATTTATTTATTTTGAGACAGAGTCTCACTCTGATGCCCGGGCTGGAATGCAATGGCGTGATCTCGACTCACTGCAAACTCTGCCTCCTGGGCTCAAGCAATCCTCCCACCTCAGCCTCCCAAGTAGCTGGGACTACAGCCATGTGCCACCACACCCAGCTAATTTTTGTATTTTTTGTAAAGACAGGGTCTCACCATGTTGATCAGGCTGGTCTCAAACTCCTGAGCTTAAGCAATCCACCAGCCTTGGCCTCCTGAAGTGCTGGGATTACAGGTGTGAGCCACCGTGCCCAGCTCTAATTTATTTATTTTATTTATTTATTTTTTGAGACAGAGTCTCGCTTTGTCACCCAGGCTGGAGTGCAGTGGCGTGATCTCGGCTCACTGCAAGCTCCGCCCCCTGCATTCACACCGTTTTCCTGCCTCAGCCTCCCATGTATCTGGGACTTCAGGTGCCCACCACCATGCCCGGCTAATTTTCTTTGTATTTTTAGTAGAGATGGGGTTTCACCGCGTAAGCCAGGATGGTCTCGATCTCCTGACCTCGTGATCCGCCCGTCTCGGCCTCCCAAAGAGCTGGGATTACAGGCATGAGCCACCGCGCCCGGCCTCTAATTTATTTTTAAAAGGTGAATTGCTTCAGAAGTGTTTTGAGCATTCTTAGCACCAGCAAATCTCTTTCTCCATTTTCACACCTGACTGGGGTAGGCCTGGTTGTCATGCCATCTCTGTGGAGAGTCACCCCCCGGGGGACTGCTTAGTGATCAGTGAAGCCTTCAGTTGGCCAGCTTTCCCTTCTATGGTCTACAGCACCACAGGCAGGGACAGGAGAGCACCAGTTCTTTAATGTGAACAGAACTCTCTCAACATCATCAGAAGGAACGTCTGCTGGTTTGGCCTCCCCAAGCATCCTTTCTGCCTTTTTCTGCTCGCAGCATCTTGCTTTCCCTTCTGGGAGTGCCTACTGCCTGTTGCATCTGACTGATGTCTGCTCTCTCCAGTACTTAGGCATGTGACCCCGTCAGACCAGAGTGTCTCTCCTGAGAACCCAGGGTTGTGGCCCCAGCAACAAGATAGATAACAGTTAGGTCTGAGTGCTCTTGACCCATGAATTCTTACTACTTTGAGTTTTGAGCAGGATTTACATAACAAATACATTAGAGCAAGCTCAAAGTTAGCCCTAAAATACTGTCATTTTCTCTTGATTTTAATATACTTTCTTGAAGAGGTGAGAGAAGGCTCGCACTATCCCTAATAGGTAGGAAGTTGTATGTCACCTGCATGATAGCTGTGGCCTGGGGTCCTGACCTTCCCAAGCATGGCTGTCCAAATCTTCTAGTTTAGGAATCTAAACTGGAAAATGTCGTCACTGCGCAGCACTCCCTTCAAACCATCCAGAGACCAGATATTTCCTTTTTCCTTAAAATACCACAGGAATAGGGTTACTAGATTTAATAAATGAAAATACAGGATACTCAGCTACATTTGAATTTTAGATAAACATGAATGAATACTTTTTTTAGTATAATTTTGTCCCATGCAATATTTGGGCATCCTGTATTGTGTCTGGCAACCCTACTCAGGGAAGAAAATGATGTTTCGTTCTTGGGGTTGACTTAAAAACACTCACCCTCTTTTACCCAATTCTGCTGTCCCTTCTCCCCCACAAGCAAATGGCTTCTGTAATAGTAGACATATTATTTACCAGATGGGTGGACCAAGGGTAGGCACCTGACACAAGATGGACCAACCAGTGCAGCTTCCTAAGAATTTTCCAAACAGTAAGTATGAAAGAATTAAGTGCTTTCAGGTGTTGGAGTTTGAGACATTAAGCTCAGGGACTGGTGGCAGCCTTGATTTCCAATACATGGACAGGACTGGCCTCTATTGAGAGAGAATGAGGTAGACTCACAGGCAGAAACAGAGAGTGCTGACAGTGTTCAATTATTAAACTCCAGTTGTTCTTGAGGGGCTCCTTGCCTTTGCCATGTTTCTTTTTCCTTTTTTTTTTTTTTTTTTGAGACAGAGTCTCACTCTGTCTCCCAGGCTGGAGTGCAGTGGTGCGATCTCAGCTCGCTGCAACCTCCGCCTCCCTGGTTCAAGCAATTCTCCTGCCTCAGCCTCCCGAGTAGCTGGAATTACAGGCACACACCACCATGCCCAGCTAATTTTTGTATTTTAGCAGAAATGGGGTTTCACCATGTTGGTCAAGCTGGTCTTGAACTCCTGACCTCAGGTGATCCGCCCTCTTCAGCCTCCCGAAGTGTTGGGATTACAGGCGTCAGCCACCACACCTAGCCTGCCTTGTTTTCATAAACTAAAAATAAAATCCTAAGCCCCCCAACCAATTAAATGGACCCCCTCTTTGCCCAGGTGACCCCAGAGAAACCTGAAAACCTGAGTTCTTGGCCAGGAGGGGAGGGAAGTCAGACACACCTCATTACATCCTCTCCCTTTTGGAGTTTAAGCACAGCTGACCAGCATTAATGTTAAAACAGAACTCATAAGACTAAGACTAACAAAATGGACTCTTCGTGACAATAGATACTGAATTATAAACAGGACCTAAGGCCATGCCTGACAAGGAGTAATTTACACACTCCTACAGGTCGCTACAACCCAGTGTATTGGTTAATAGAATTCCTTATCTAAAACATCCCTTTCTGCTGACTCCAGATTTTTAAACAGAGCTTTACTCCTTTAGCCAATGACAAATTAAAGAATTTCTAAGTCCACCTATAACCTGTAAGCTCCCCCACTTCAAGATCTCCTGCCTTTGCAGGCTGAACCAATGTATACCTTCCATGTATTAATTTATGACTTTGCTTGCAAGTCCTATCTCCCTAAAATGTATAAAACCAAACTGCAGGCCTGGCATGGTGGCTCACACCTGTAATCCCAGCACTTTGGGAGGCCAAGGTGAGCAGATCACCAGGTCAAGGGATTGAGACCATCCTGGCCAACATGGTGAAAACCCATCTCTACTAAAAATACAAAAAAAAAATTAGCTGGGTATGGTGGCAGGTGCCTGTAATCCCAGCTACTTGGGAGGCTGAGGCAGGAGAATCACTTGAACTCAGGAAGCGGAGTGAGCTGAGATTGCTCCACTGTACTGTATTCCAGCCCGGTGACAGAGCGAGACTCCGTCTCAAACAAAACAAAACAAAACAAAACAAAAACCTGTAGTCCCCAACTGCTTCCTGCATACTATCTCAGGACCTCCTGAGACTGTGTTCCCGGGCCATATTCATTCATATTGGCTCAGAATAAACCTCTTTAAAATATTTAGAGCCTGGTTTTTGGATTAACATTTTGATTATTTATGCTTTTTTAGTTTACATGAACTATTAAGTTCTTTTTGCCCAAGGGTTGAAACAAAATACAAGTTGCAACACTTTATCATATTGCAGTCAGCTGTTAAGTTTCTGTTCCCAAGATGTGAGGAGGAGCAGTGTCTTACTCATCTTGGTCTCCTCGGCATCTAACCCAGCAACTGGCATAGAGTAGGAGCTCAATCATGTTTTCAATAAATTAATAAATGACTGCCTGGGCATGGAGATGAGCAATGTAGTGCACATTTGACTGATTTGATTTCTTCTTTTTTAAATAATGAATTTATTTCTTTTTAATTATCTTTGTAGAGACAAGGTCTTGCTACGTTGCTGAGGCTGGTCTTGAACTCCTGGCCTCAAGTGATCCTCCCACCTTGGCCTCCTAAAGTCCTGGGATTACAGGCATGAGCCACCATCCTCAGCCATGATTTGATTTCTTGACAGAAACTCACCAAACATCAGGAATCTTTTCCACTAGCTCACTGGAAAATCCTGAGACTTAGAGAATCTCTCACCCCACAGCTGGCCAGAATGGGAGGCAAGGTTGTGGTTGGGTTACATGCTTTTGCCCAGGTAG